CCAGGTTGGCCTTAAACTCACAGAGATCCACCTGCTTCTGCCTCTGGAGTGCTGGGATTAAAGGCGTGCACCACCACCCTTCCCACCCAGCCTCCTACCTCCTATTCTTATCACACCATTCTCTGATGGGGTTACCCAAATTGCCAATAGGGAATAGGGATACAGACCGCTCTGGCTTCTTCCATGCTGAACAAGGATGCAGGGTGAGGCAATTGGAGTACCCCTTCAAAATATCTAAAATACTCCCAAATTGCGTAACTCTTATCTCTAAGGGGGAAAAGAAAGTCCTTGAATCCTGAATAGGAGATGTGAAGGAGAAGTAAAGGCAAGAGTAATTAGCATTACAAGTTCTAGACAGTGAACTAGAAAAAAGTCAGAACAGGGCAGTTTTCAAATGTTCATATGAGAGTCCATTGGAATTTCTTGGCAAGGGCTTCCAAAAACGTCCTTCTATTGGGTTCCTCCTCATTTTTCTTTTGTCTTCCAAGACTGGACTCTAGAATGATAGATTCAGAATTTGCTTTCAGGTATTTTGATAGCTGTTGGAGTGGTTAAAATCAGTGTCAAATCCCAAGTTCCACCCAACTTTTCTTGCCAAAGCATGTCCATTTTCTAAAATTCCAGCTCCAAATTTCCTTAATTTTCAAGATTTCCCTTTCTGTCTCCTTAGCACCTTCATGGAAAGTTTATACGGTGCTGATTTGTGCTCGGTCACACCTGGCTTTGTAGGTATTTTTCCAGTTGATGTCCTGGACAGAGAACAATCTTACTGGAGGTGGCGCCTTTGTTTTGCATGCTACAGAGTGCTTTTGCAAAGTTGGCAAAATAAAGGTCCATTTTCCTTGAATTAATTCATTCATTCACTCATCCTGTCTCAAAAGTAGAAGTTGTTCTAATTTTGTTCCTTCTGACAGTTGTGCATCTAAGTCAGGATTATTATTATTTAAACAGAAGAGGACTTCATGTTGGTATGTTACTATCCTGTCCCATTTGGTTTTTATCTTGCCTAATTTGACGTACAGAATAACTGCCTCTTGGATTTTTCTCTTAAAACTTGTTTTTCTCTTAAGGTCATTTGAGGATCTGTTCCTCAGGGTTCACATGGGCTTGGGAGGAGCTCCTGGCTCCTTTCTTTTTCTAGTTCCATCTATGTCAAGATAAGTCAAAGGTCCTGCTCGACCATGCCTAGCTTTACTTGGAAGTATTGATGAGATGTTTCCTCTGAGTTGACCCTCCTCTTTGTAGACTGGACACTGGTTCAAGTCCATCTCCTGAGGTCTCCATGTCCACCCTGAACAAGAGGACAGGTGACTCACCACAGTTACAGGATATTTTGAGAGATGTTCCATAAGTCCCCTGGAAATTTGTTGACCTTGGAGGGCAAGGGGCAAAAACTGTCCTTTAAGTCCCTCTGACCACATTAGTATAGGTCTCAAACTATGGCTTTTAAACATCCAATAAATTTAGTTCCACCAGTCTGGTACTTTTAATTATCATGTGTTATGTTGATAAGGCTTGGGTAAAAAACCAAATATTCTCAGATAAACCTTGAGTAGGTATATATTTTGTTCCTTAAACTAGTTTACTAAACTATGACCATAGAAAATTTAAAATTATGTGTTTATTATTTTTGTCTCATCCTTTATATATCATAATAAACAGACCTTCATCTCTTGCTTAGGCTTTCTCATTTTTTTCTATTTTGGAAAATGTCTCCATTCCCATATCCTTTTAACATCTTTTACATTCTCATTTAAAAAAAAAATAATCATGAGACATAATAGCATTAACAAATAAAATTTCCATCTGTTATGAAACTTCTTTTCCTGGGGATGCTAAGCAATGCTTATTCCCTTTTAAGGTTCTAGTGTCAAGCCAATGTTTGATTAAAGTTTTACTGGGGAACCAATGAATTTACTGAGCTTACTTACCGAGATAACTGAGGGGTTGCTGAGGTGTATGTATGACCTGAGGGTATGTACACTGGAAAGCCATTACCCAACATGGTTCATGCCTTCTCTTCTTAGCCTTCCCCAGATTGAATACTTTAGCCCTCCCCAAATCCAGGAGACCATGTGTGATTAGGGTCAAATTACATACAGTTGGCTGGGAAGAGTGCCTGGATAATCCAGTGAGGGTCCAATGACCCTGCTTGGCTCTCCTTCATGAATGAGCACAACTGTCAACAAGCCCAATTGTGATGATGTTTAGCGATCAGGCTCAGCTGAAGTCGTAATGATGGTAGTTATTTCATGCAGAAGAGACTGCTTGCTGTATAGCATCATCTTATTAAAAGGACCTGGAATTTAAAAGAATTTGGTGCTAGGATCCACATATGAGGGAGAACATAGTCGTTTGTTTTTCTGAGTCTGTGCTACTTCAGTTAGTATAACAGTTTCTAGATACATCCATTTACCTGCAAATTTCATTATTTCATCTTTCTTTACTGCTGAATAGAACTCCATTGTGTAAATATACGACATTTTTGTTAACCGGTTGTCAGTTGAGGAGCACTTAGGTTGCTTCCATCTCTTAGCTATTTTGAAATGAGCAGCAACAAACATGGTTGTACAAGTGTCTCTACAATAGGATGAGTCCTCTGGGTATATGCCAAGGAGTGTTATAACTGGGTCATATGATAGGTTCATTTTTAGTTTTTTAAGAGTTCTCCACACTGTTTTCCTTAGAGGTTGCACAAGTTTGCAATCCCACCAGCAGTGAATGAGTGTTCCCCTTTCTCCACATCCTTGCCAGCATTTGGTATCATTTGTTCTCTTGATCCTAGCCAGTCTGATTGAGATAAGGTGATACCCTAGGGTGGTTTTAATTTGCATTTCTCTAATTAGTAACGATGTTGAACATTTTTTGAGATGTTTCTTCACCATCTTTATTTCTTCCTTTGAGAACTCTGTTTAGATCTTTTGCCCATCTTTTAATTGGGTCATTTGGTTTCTCGATTCTTTGTTTTTTGCATTCTTTATATATTCTGGATATTAAACCTCTGTCAGATGTGTCACTAGTAAAGATTTTTTCCCATCCTGTGGGTTTTCTCTTCACTTTTTTGATTGTTTCTTTTCCTGTATAGAAGCTTTTTAGTTCAATGAGGGCCCAGTTATTG